TCTAACTTGAAAAGAGTTAGCTGCAGAAATAAAGCACAAATGTTTAAGTGTTTCTATCAGAGATAAAGCCATCATAATATTTTGAACTTGTACTATCACTCGAGGTTGTTTAAATTCGTACTAAAATTGTGCTCTTCTGCATTTAAATTGCTATAAATGAAAGAAAAAGTGAAGTGGTTCCTTCTGAGCAATCCCAATCTAAGTCCAGGTTTGAATCCTACTTTCAGGTAACATTTACTCTCCCATTTAGCAAAGGGTGAACCTGTTTTGAGTCTGGTTTGAAGCACTACACTTGGATGTGTTTGAAGCCATGGTTTAGATTCTGGTAGAGGTGTTCATTAAACTGATTAAATCTAAACAGTTTAAGATTTAAGATTATTTGCGTTTGCAAATATACTTTTGCAATCTGGCATAGCTGAGAACAGAATTTGACCAGGGTGTTTAGGCATGAATTAAATTATAAGAATTTGTGTTCAAACACAACTCTACTTATCATTATCTGTGTTGCAATTGTACATTATTTGCATACTATTTTTCAGAAAACCAAAACATTTATTCTAGCAGCTTGCAGTTTTCTGCAGAAACGTTGGCAGAGAGCTTTGTCATAACCATTTTTGAAACACGTTTGGGTAACGGGCTGCCAACAGATTGCCCTTTTAAGATTTGTATTTTACTTGCAGCTATGTGCAGAAATCTTTGAAGAACTTGAAAGTAACCTATCTTCCCTTAACAATTATTTGTATCTTGAATGGTTGTTCCCACATCAGATACAGGTTTATAGGTGAACCTGAGAGCCTGAAGTCCTCTGTCTGGTGTAGTGCCTGCTCCTATCCACATCTTACTGGAGTGACAGCTGTGCAGACCTCACTCAGACGGATGTTATATCTGCTCCTGTAAAGTGTGATCTGTGAGGGCCTGAGCAGGGATCCCTAGCTAGCTGTAGTACTTCTTATACTATTTTCAATTAGTTTGACACTAAAGTTGTGATCTACACTGCTAGGACTTGATTACGAAAGAGAAGCTGGATATCATCAGCTCATCAGAAAATGCACTTGTTTTGCTTTGTTTTTCTAGCTGCCATTTCTGATGGATCCTGGAATTTTCCTTTTGGATTTGATCTTTTGCATAAGCATCCACCATGGGGTGGGTGATACCATCTCATCACCTCTGATTGTGTCATAGCTAAAGTGAAAGCCAACCAGAGGCTTCAGACAATTATTGCTATTAGTGTCATACAAAGACTGGGTTTTGTTCAAAGTCCGTCACACTTTTGAGTAATAACATAGTGGATTTTTTTTTTAACAAGTGGGTAAAATTCCTCCATAACACACAGAAATTTGAAAGTCAGTCAGTCAGAGAGACTCTGAGATACTCTCAGCAGAGTCTGAGATACTTACACGGTGTGTCATGGAGGTACTGAAACCTACCATCTGTCTGTGCTGTAGAGAATAGCAGACTTGGATCTCTTTGAATGAAAGTGGCTGCTCCAACTATGTTGCAACTGTGTCTAAGCTCCAGAGTGGGCTTTTAAAGAGCCATGAAATTCTTTTTCCAGTTTTGTGAAAGCACATTTTAACCTTGAGTTTTCCAGAAATGTCCCATTTAACATGGCCAAATGGATCTTTTAAACCCATATCATCCCTGCAGGACCTCAGTTTTGCAGTCCACTTTGTGCACTGCCAAGGGTGGAGCAGGGGGACATGGAGCTGCCCCTAAGCACCTGCTGCGAGGAAAAGCACAGGAAGATGGTGTTTGGTTTACTGCCCTGTGTGGGAATTGTATCACCAGTCTCAGTGTTTGATCTTCAGATGGTACAAGGGGGTTTTATGGCTCCTTTGTGTGGTAGTCATATGTACAGACATATGTCAGTAAATACAAAAGTGTTGAAATGATTACTTGGTAATGAAGAACACTTTGCTAAATTAAGTATTTCCTTGCCCCAGCAACACAAACATAGGTAAAGGCCCATCACTACCTTTTAATTTTGTACCGTAATTCATATTCTGATATTCACACCCTATGCATGACATGATGCCTCGCATGCGTGTGTTTCCTACATCACTTCCTCTGTCTCTGCTATGTTCTCATGCCTAAACTTGTTCCTGCCCTCATTTGTCACAGCTGGATGGATAGAGTCCCAAACAGATACGCTCTTTGCAGGGCTCTGGTGCTATGGATGCAAATGTCTCTTTGTCCACTGATGCCAGTTTATCATTTGCAAGTTGCAGACAGAACTACGTAAATGTGACAGGGAGAGATGCAACCCAATTGCTTTTGAGCTATATCAAAGAAAAGACACTGTATAATACCACATTAAGTTTGACTCCTTTTGAAAAACCCCTTCTTTTCATTATTTCCTTCAGGGAATAAGTGGGAATGTGGTTACTGCATTTTCTTCTTTGATATGTGCACATACAAGATGGTATCCTCCCACAGAAAGACTTTTGCTTGGAGAAATTAAATGCCCGAGTATGTTTAAATGAATAAATCACTCATTTTTAAGTGTGTCTGTATTCATGAATCATATGACATGAGCTAGGCAAAATACAACTGCTTAAAAGCAAGTGGTATAATAAAGAAGCCTTGGAAATAGTAATTTGAACCATTTCAAAATCTCCTCTTGATGGCAGATTTCAAACACTTAACAACTTCAAGTGGAAATGTAAATTTTCAAAGACTTTTTCAGCATGAGATAATTTGTCTGCAGGAGACATGCTGACAGCTATATTTGTTGAGAGTTGGTACTGATGGCTGCAGCCTCTACCGGGTGTCTTGCAGGAGGTGTCGCTTCTGACTCAAAAGAGGCTCTGAGCTGATGGACAGGAGCACTCACTCCATTTCAGAACGAGGCGCTGAAGTAACGTGGGCTTGAGTGTGTGGAGACTTAGAGATGGAGAAGGGTGTTAGAAGGCAAACTCTCAGTCACTAGCTGAGATTCATAATGACAAAAATAAATATACTGTAAGCTCACCTGTACCTGGCTGAACTTGTTCTCCTGGTGGTGTGAAGGCCTGTGATATCTGCCTCGTACTCACAAGGTTTCCAATAAACCAAATAAGCCAAGTTTTTGAGAGTGTCAAGTGCTGCTCCAGGTAAGGTGGGCTGCAGATACGGCACGGCATAAAGCTGCTATGCAGTGATGCTGGCTTCAGCCCAGGAGGCTGTACCGCCATGTACATGGAGCACTGACCCTATCCAGTAAATCCTGCCTCTCCAAAGATGTAGTCAGCTCAAGCAGAGCGTCACCTTGCTGTGACCATACCATTTCTGAAGTGGCTGGTACCATTTCTGGCTGCAGAATGGGAGTTGTTTGGCGCTAACGTGAGCAACTCTGCTCAGAAATGTAGAAATGCCCGAGAAGCCTTGATTTCCAGAAAGGGAGAAGTATTGACCCGCTGAAAATCAGGTTCCTTTAAAGGCATCTCAGATGGTGTGCTCAAATATCAAAGCGTCTCTAGTATTTATTACCCTTTAGAAAGTAAGACCATAAATTCTCATTTACATTGAAGAATTGTTTGTAACCTGCAACAGAGCTACCAGATTTTCCAGTAAAGACTTTGTGATGTTGTATTCATTAATCTCATTAAATCTTGGGATCATTCAGTGGTGAGCACTGCTTACATTCAGGTATTTATTTTATTCTTTCTGATCATTCTTTGCCCTGCCTACTGGATAAGTCCTTGCATTTGTTTATCTTAGGAATGACTATTTTAAAATGGTTGACATGTATTTATATTTTTAGCAATGTCATTTTCCCAGGTGTTACCCAAGTTTCTTCCGGAAGATCTAAGACTCAGACAACATAATGAATCACTGACACTGTTTTCTTTTTTTGCAATAGGAAATGGCAAATGTTTGAAACAGTGTCTACCTAAAACCAGATAATACTGGTTTTCTTGTAACTTCTGTAGTGATGCTGCGTGCTGCCCAAGCACGTGCATAAGTGCTAGATAGGACCTGGGGAATAAAGTGTAGGGTCTTGCGTTAGGCGGCTTGGCACAGCATAAGGCTGCACCATGCACTGGTGATCCCCGACAGCCCAGTTCCTGAGCTGGGTCAGCCAAGAGGGCACTGGAAGAGATGGGGGTGAATACCAGACTCTGCCCCTGGGAGCACATGTCAGCAAGACATCCCTCTCCAGAGACAGTTGCCCTGATTTCCTGGGCACGCAAGCAGCCCCTCCACCCCACCTCATATTTGTTTTCTAGCCTGCTGGTTCTTAAATTCCTTCTGTCAAAGTAATACAGTTTCTAACCCATTATGTAAGGTTCATGTTTGTCACCTCTTAACCTCTAGATGTGTGTTTTTCTTTTGATCCATGTTTTCCAACATATCTAAGAGCAGGCTGTGCCTAAAAGAGTAAAGACACATTCCTTCTGAAGCTATGTATTCATTTTGTTCAATTAATATTGTGTAGAGAAAGCACTGGTGGGTTTTGTATGTATACATTACTAGAAACCAAAATTACTGTGTGCTGGAGATAAAATTAGTTTTGGAAATTCCTTTTCCCCTTTCAAATAAAAATAGCAGAATCTGCCTTTAATTGACCACCTCAGTCATCACAGAGGTTTCCTGTGTGCAGAGGCTTTGCTTTTAATATCTGTTTTCCTTTGGCTTTAAAGAGTAGTCTTTATTTGCAAGTTTATTATAGAAGCGTTCAAATTAGAGGTGGGCTGAAACCGCAAAGTTTATGTCTGGATCTGGATGCAACTTTCCAAAAGTTTCAAGGTCCAGGTTTGTGATTGTCCTGACCAGAGATTACAGAGGTGTCAATAAAATTCAGGTTGAGAGCCACATCTCCTGGGTGTGGAAACACAACACTTTGGTTTAAGCCCTTTCCCCAGTGTATTTTGTAAAGCAGATTTACGAAGTGGATTATTTCTGTGCTGACCAAGAGGAAGAGTTTCCTTTTTTTTTTTTTTTTCTTCAGATGAGAAAAGAAATGTAAGCAGTACTTTTCCAGACACAAAACAATGCGAACAAGTGTCATTCAACACAAGATGTTCACAACCTCCTTTATTGTGTTGAAGCCCTTCTCAGCAAGTTCTCATGATAATTTACACTTTTATATCACAGGGCTGGGAGAAGGTTCTGCTCTTCTTCACCCGGACAGCAGGTCCCACCCTCGGTCCTTGGAGAAGAGTGCATGGAGGGCTTTCAAGGAGTCACAGTGTCATCACATGCTGAAACACCTTCACAATGGAGCACGGATCACTGTGCAGATGCCTCCCAATATTGAGGGACACTGGGTCTCTACTGGGTAAGGAAAGACAAGATAAAACAAGATGCTTGAGTGATATATGTGGAAGAGAAGAGGGGAAGGAAGCAGAGAGGGAAGGATGAATACTCCCACTTTAAGCAGCAGGGGAAATATTTTCTTTAATATGCTGGTGCTCTACATTCCAGTTGCTTTCTATATGTTTATGTATCAAAGGAGAAGGAGCGGCGTTACGTACATTAGAATAGCATGCCATAAAGCTGTCTTGATGAATCAATTTATAGTCTGGATTTTAAACAGCATGCTGTGAAATATCTTGAAATCTCTCTTTGAGTAGGAAGGAGCCCAACAAGTTGCCAAAATGGATGTTTATTCAAACATAACATTGTACTATCTTTGACTACATGCATTAGATCCATTGAATGGGTCCTTGTTTTCAGAGCATGTGTCTAGTACAGGTTTTATTAGCAAAAGAAAGTAAGAAGCTGTATTTCACCAGTTCTATTGCTCTCTCTGCATGATGACTTGTAATTCAGAGAGCTGTTTTGCTTTCTGTGTCTCAGCAGGCAATATTCACATACTTATTTGAACTGACTTGTACTAGGAAAGAGTGGGGTTTTTTAACAGAAGGGAGTGTATTGATGTTAAGCAGTGTGGATGTGACAAGGGGGACACATTTGAAGGCTCAGAAGGACTTTCTACAGGAAGTGGAATTTAACTGCCATTTATGCTTTCAGAAAAAAAAAAAAAAAGAAAAACAAAATACAAAAAAACCACAAAAAAACCCAAAACTTGAATATTGCATGGTCCAAATTCAAGCCAAATAGAATTTTTGTGTTAATAGCCAGAAGTTTGCATTAACTGCCACTCCTGTTTGAAAATCTGAGTGGAAAAGCTAAGGACACAATCCTGCAGATCCACTACAAACCAGAGGTGGTGGAGCTCCCATGAGAAGCTTCTGCAGCAGCACAGAAGCCAGTACTTTGTACTGTTCTGTGGATGGTTAGCATTCACTTTCTGATGTTATCAGTCCTTTTGCTAAATCTACCATGCAAAAGAGAGGAATAGATGTTTAATAAGCTGCTACTTTTTTCAGAGAAGAATTGAGTCACATGGTGGCCCCTAGACAAAAAGAAAAAGTAAAACATAACTCAGAGCATTTAAAACTACAAAGATAAAGCCCTTAGATATGATCACCACGAAGCAGTATATTAATAACAGCGTAACAGCAGAGGAAATTGTTGGTTAATTGGCAGGCCACAGATGCCTGGTTCCTATTCCCACTCATACCAGAGGAACACTAGTACCCAGGTGTCTCTGTGGACCCATGTGGGTTTGCTTAATCTTGTTACCTGTAGTGTAACCTGATGCGCCACCTTGCTAAAATTTTTTTTCCATCACTTTCTGTCTTCCCACAGCTGTGAAGTTAGAGCAGGCCCAGAGTTCATCACAAGATCTTACAGGTTCTACCACAATAATACATTTAAGGCCTATCAGTTTTATTATGGTGGCAATCGCTGCACAAACCCTATCTACACATTAGTTATACGTGGCAAAATCCGTCTCCGCCAAGCATCCTGGATCATCCGAGGGGGTACAGAAGCTGATTATCAGCTACGCAACATACAGATCATATGCCACAATGAAGCAGTAGCCAAAAAATTAAGCGAGTTGGTGAACCATACGTGTCCTGGATTTATACCAGAAGATAGTCCCTGGGAGCAGGATGTGAGCTACGATCTGCTGAGAGAGGAGAATGGCTGTGAATGCACCAAAGCTCTGAATTTTGCCATGCACGAACTCCAGCTGATCCGTGTGGAGAAGCAGTACCTGCACCACAATTTAGACCACCTTGTGGAGGAGCTATTTCTTGGAGACATTCATACTGATGCTACTCAGAGGAGGTACTATCGGCCCTCTAGTTACCAACCTCCTCTTCAAAATGCCAAGGTATGTGTGTGTATATATGCCCTCTTACTGAGATACTAGTGATAAAGCCCACGTTATTCAGCTCTTCTGAGTCAGTGCACTAGTGTAACCTAAAATGTAGGTGTGCTTATAAAATAAGAGGTCACTTGCAGCCTCACAAATGATGCAACCAATTAACAAAATATTACAGAATGTATTTTGTGAGAATAGTAACTTTTCTGTGGTTTATGCGACTGTATCAAATATGCAAAAACTAGTCTGATGGACTAAGGACAACAAAGGCCACTCTAAAGATGGAATCAAAGACTTGTATGAAGAGGTGGTAGTGTTTGGCTGGGACCATGGCTGTAGTCTAGCAGCTGAGAAGAAAGTTTCATGCAGGACTGAGAAAGGAGAAGAGAAACAAGCATCAGTGATGCTTGGATAGCTGTGGGAGTGCCAGGGAGAAAGGAAATGGAATTGTCTCAGCATATGGAAGTTGGGTGATCCGTAAGCTGAAGAGAAAAAGAGGAAATTGGAAGGTAGACACATGAAAGGGGCAACATGAAGGGAAAAAATCTGATGGGCTGTGCAGGTCATCGATCCAGATGCAGCCTCACACCTTAATGAAATGAAAACCAGGTGAATTTTGAATGGGGCTCTAATTCTATTTGATAATTCAGTTTTCAAAGGGCCTCAAAGTGCCCTCAGCTTCATTGGGAACTGATCAACCCATAGCAAGCTAAATAAAAATCAAACAGAAAGACTAGACACTGATGGCCTGTAGCAGGAAGGAGGTCTAAAGTTCTTTCCTGGTAACATTTCAAAGGCAGGTGGTGATTGGAACCACATTGCTGGGTGCCGTTGCCATTGGTGTGCTCCAGCTGGGCACTGCCGCAGCATCACTTAGAGCTAGTGGACTATCACCATTTTTTAATCATCTCATTACAACCAATTCAAAAATCAGCTACAGCTTATCAGCAGTAGCAGGAAACACAACAGAAGGGAGAGTATTGATGAGAAAGCCTTGGCTTTCCCTTCCATTCAAAACTGGCTGCCCTGTGTTGCATCTGCCTCCTGCGAACATCGAATTTCAGTAGTTCAGGACCTTACGTGATCTGCTTTTAATCATTTTAATAGCCTGGCCTGGGGATAATTTTAAACCAGTCAACTGTGTCCTTGTATGAAAACTGCTATCATTTCTGTCATTCTTATGCTCTCTTCAAGTGACCAAGGATAAATTTTCCTTTTTAAAAAAACATATCTTCCCAAAACGGAGAATTTCAGCAGCAGGAGATGAACCCCAGCATGTTCCTCATCAAGATTTTACTTTTCTCTGATTAATTCAAACAAGCACATCAACTTTCTGTTTGCTTATTTGGGAGTGAGGGTTCTTTCCTATATCTCTTCCTTGCAGGTATTTGTAAGTACAAGTTATCTGACAACAGCTATATGTTGTATCTGTTCTATAAAATACTGCAGATATTTTTCTGACCACATGAAACAGAGACAAAATCTTGATTTAATTCACCTTAGCTGTTTTTTTTTTTTCCCCCATCAAATCTAGTTGTCTTATTATGGACTGATAGATAACATAGTGAATGCTTACACTTCCACCTTTCAGTAATTTCATTACAGTCAGAATGATCAGATGTACTGTCAACCAGCTTTATAAAAATAAGATTTTTGTCCAGGTCTGCTGTAATTTTAGGTCACACTGATGATTATTTTCTTGCCTGTCTCTTCTGCTCTTATAGCGTCACTTTTTCCCTCTAAAATATAATGCTCAAATTTAAGGGATTAAATCTTGCGTAAGAGGTCTGTTTCTTGAGCTAGGTTAGCTAAATAAACTGAGAGCACTGAAACTCTCACTGATGTACACAAAGCCCATTATTTAAGGCATGATCTGATCCACTCTGACCTGAGTGGGTGACATCTCTACGTGGAAGATAAGAGCAGCCTCACCATGCCTGCCTGAGTCACCCTGCACAGCTGTTATCCTGCAGTCCCACGTCTCCTGCCCAGGAGTACCCTGCGCACCGACCAGGGAGAGTCTGCAGTGTGGATGCCAGGGGAGGCTTCCACATCATATATATAAAAGAACTGAGGGAGAGGAAAAGCAAACAAGCCAACTAGTTCTCCATTGGTATTCATGAAGTACAGTGCTTCCAAAATGATTTTTGGTAGCCAAGTCTTGGCAGAGGCTGAATCTTGAGGCTGAATTTATGATACTGGAAGCCCATTCATAACAGTACTATCGGCTACAGAAAGTGCTGTTACTGTAGAAAGCATAGGTTAACTTTGAGTAAATACGTACAGATTCCAGTTATCTGTGATGAAACCACTGTAGTTTAATAAATGGGGGCCCCAGGTCCTGAATTGCAGGCCACTGCTCAAATCCCAGTTTGGCCAGTTATAAATTCCAACAAGTTACATTACCTCTGTTCCTCCTCCAAGTGTTGCCTGTATGGTCTGCTTGGCTCCCACAATGTATACAAATGGTGTCGGGATTGCTGGTGCACGTGTGTCAGCTGGAGCCTTCAGTGGCAAAAGATGTGTAGGTTTAATACAAGTTTTAAGTGTGCAACAGTGCAGCTTCTCCTTGTGTTTTTTAGTAGGTTCCTCTTGCTCAGATTTGATGTGAGATTTCATTTTTCTGAAGAGAAGTCAGGCCTGCTGATACCAGGCTTTCAGAACGATACAAATAACAATACCCCTAAAAAATTAACCTTTGCCTCAGCTGCTATGAAAGACTCCTGGGTGTTGGTTTGTACCTAACTGTGAAGTTCTCTATAACAACAGGTTCTCAACCCGGCTGTCTGACCTAGTGTTTGCCAAATGTAGGAAGAATAGTAACAGAGATGCTTTTTTTTAAAAAAAAAAAAAAAAGTCCAGGCAAACATACCGTTGAAAGGTTATAACCCATCTTCTTTGAACTCTTTTCCTTTTCTAATTGTTGCTCCACTGGGACCCAGCTGAAAATGAGTTTAAATGCTAAATTGAGTTTAAAACTACAAGTCACAGACTCCTCTGGAAACTGGACACCATGAATAAATAGAAACGTTAAATCAACTTGTTTTTTTAAGGTTTCTACAGTCATACCAAGAGGTTAGGGAGGCCAGGAAATTACTTCTGAAGTGAATCAGGTGTATTGTGTGGAATCTTTCATTTAAGGCTTTTTTCATTTCCTTTTTATTTATTTTTATTTTAAACTTATAAAGGCCTACCTAAAATAAGTTAAGAGGATTCACTTTTTGAGTTAAATTTATAGTTCGGCCTCTATATAGAAAAAAGTTCCACCCAGCTCTGGAGTTTACACAGCCTGTAAAGTTGGATGTGGTAGCCACATTCATTACTTATGTGGTTGAAATGAATGGTAATTAAAAGCAAATGATTTCTGGATAAGTTAGGAATGCCAAAGCCACATGATCAGGACTTTAAACAAATAGAATTGGACCTTCTCCAAATTCCTGCAGTGATTTCACCACAGGATGGTAAATCAAAAGGGCTGTCCAAAAACCAGACAGCTTTATGCTGAGCTACAAATCTGAATAAATTCACAGATTACCATATCTCAAGTGTTCATATAAAATCAGGGAGCTTTTAAGAATATATATGTCATCTCTTAAGGCTTTACAAATTCTCTTAGATAAGAGCATAGCTTAAACAAAATCCTTCTGTAAAATACTTGGAAGTTCCTGAGTGCAGCTGATGAATAGGTCACTGTATAGATTTATCTTAACTGTCCTCTAGCTTTGCACAAGATGACAATTAGGACTTGTTGATGAATGAGTCTGAACATCTTTGATGTCTCTTGATGTTGCAAGTTTATCAAGGGATTCAAGCTATTGCACATACAGCTTCTTCAGCCAGCATGACACAGCCAGCACACAGGTGGAAAGGGCAAGACGGGGGAACTGCCTGGCCATTATCTCATGTATTATACAAAATATTTCAGATTAGGACAACACCAAGGAGCCTGGCTGATTGGTCATAAAATCACAACTTATTTATTTACAAATATGTACAAGGACTTGTAGCATGAAGGAGGGCTTGAATGAAGTATTCATTCACTATGCAGAAGGACAGAAGATGTTTTCAGAGATAGCTGCTCTAAAACTACAGGAAATGTGTACAACAGCAATACTGGGACACTTACTTCACATATAATTGCCTCAGCAATAGTGCTCTGTAAACAAAGAACTCCTTGTGCTATTTTGTTGTCTGACAGAGTAACAGGAAAGATCAGAGTAGGGCTGTGATGACCAGTCATTCTAGTTGCATCATTATTTAGGAATAAGGCTGGAATGGTGTGGAACATCACAAGAAGTCTAAAAGATGGTAGGATAACCTTCCTTCTGCCTTTGCCATGCTCAAACATTTGCCAGCCACACACTTTCAGTAAGACATTTTCCCTTGAGAATTCAATTCCAAAGGATCAATTCACTATTACGAGTTTATTCAGCAGCACCTGGCATTTGCAGCTAATACAGATTCAACGTATGAAGACTGGTGCTTGGGCCTTCCTTTAGCCAGGCGGTGAAAGAGCAAAGTTTTTTGTGCTTTTCAAAATTTCATCTCTTTGAAACTCAGTAACTTCATCTATAGGGGAATGCTATGTACTTGTGGAGCTCCCAAGGGAAATGTAAGCATGAGTTAATAAATAGATGTTAAACATGTGAAGCGCCTCAGAGAAATATGCAAAACATTATCTCAACCCAAAAGTGTAATTTTGGAGGACAAAACTCCTTTGTTTGCCAGAGTAGTGCCACTGGACTTCTAGATTAAGCCAACACTTGAAAGGTTTCTTTTGTTCATTATTACTTGCAAAAGACTCTTGGTTAGGGAAATCATGAGGGGAAGCGAAGAAGGAATATTCAGAAGAATGTTCAAATAGGTTAGTTCCAGGTTTATGAACAATGACAGTGTGATGCCCTGCAGAGACAGGAGAAGCAAACACCTTCTAGTGCAGCATGGCTGCACTTGGCAGCGCTGTGGGCTGTGGCCTTGCAGAAGAGTGCTCCTCTGAAGGTGCCACTCTG